TTAAACCAGTTCTTTCTTTTCTGTTTTGTTTTGGTTTTGCGCGTCTGTTTGTTTTAACATCGGCTCCTGCTACGCTTCAGGCTGGCCTTCAACTCAGGTGGTCACCTTTTCTCAGCCTCCCAAGGGCTGGGTGACAGGCGAGCACACCAAACTCAGTGTGAAATCAGTTCCTGCAAGTAAGTAGTCAATGGTGGCTCATGCACACCTATAATCCAAGCACTTGGGGAGGCCAAAGGAGGATTACAAGTTCAAACCCAGCCCAGGCAATTTAGTAATTTAGTGCTGGAGACCATGTTTCAAAATTTAAAAAAGAACAAAAAGGGCTGGAGATGTGGCTCACTGCACAGTCCTGCAATTAAAAAGAGGGATGGGGATTCTGTGCTCTGAATCATGAGGAACTTGCACTGAATCTTTTTTGTTTTTTTAAGACAGGGTCTTGCTATCTGGTTTGAGACCCATCTGGTCTCAAACTCCTGCCTCAGCCCTTCCAGGTGCTGGGATTACAGGGGTAGACCCCCACACTCAGGGAGGTCCTAACTTTTTGAAGCCAATGACTGGGAATAAAGAAAAGGAAGAAAGAGAGAGAAAGAGAAAGAGAGGAGAGAGAGACAGACAGAAAGAGAGAAAGACTTTTTCCTCAATGAAGCCTCCAAGACTTGGCTACGAAGAACAAGATCAAGGATAGATTTCAGAATGACCAGCAGTATATGCTTTTCCAAGATAAGATTATCATCATGGTTTAAAACCTAGTAGGATAAAGTAGCATCAGAAAAAGTTTGGGGCTACCTGGCATAGCTTATATCTGGATGCCACCCCAAAGCCTCATGCAGTCACAGGTGGGGCTCTTCAGAGGTGGCGAGATCTAGTATGTGACACTGGGACTGCTTCATGGTGCAGTGCTAGGGAGCCGCCAGGATTAAGGGTGTGACTGCTACCTGCCCCGAGTAGCCTGGATAAGATAAAAGGGACAGAGAGCTGCGGTCGTTGCTGGCTTTGTTTTTTGGGGTTTTTTTGTTTTGTGTTGCTTTTTTTAATAAGCCTACAGCACCGGGTATTCCCAGGCAGTCTCCCATCCAAGCACGAACCAGGCCCAAACCTGCTTTGCTTCGGAGATCAGACGAGATCGGGCGTGTCCTGCTTTGCTCTGGTTGCCTACTATCAACTATTTCTGCTCTGGAGCCAGCTGACACCTCTATAACTTGGAGCTAAATAAACTTTACTTCCTTTAATGTAGGATGTCAGGTATTTTGTCTCAGCAATGAGAAGAGTACCTAAGACCATGATTAATACCTAGATAACTCTTTCCATTTCAATCATCCTTGCTACTCTGCTCTCTGGAATCCAGAGGATTTGAATTTAGAAATTAGGGTGCTGGAAGCAGGAAGTAACAACTCTTAGAATCACAGGAAAGAGGATTAGACCCAGAAGGAATGCACAGAAAGCAGGGAAAACCTTCCAAAACAGGTTGTCTCCGCAGCAAGACAGTCAATGTTTATCATGTCACTGGAACTTCAGCAGAGGAAAACCTAAAACGCTTCTAGGGAGAAGGCGTCTCTTTGCTACCTGTGGGTTTTGGGACTTAACCCAGAGAAGGAATGTTGTATGTGCATCCCCAGTCCATCCATGGACAAGCTTCCTGAAACTTGGAAATTCTCACTTATATTCCCTGAGTAGTATTTCACGCTTACTAAAAAGTAACCCTGCCAAACATTATGTTACCTGTGAGATTATTTGATCCACTCAGTGCTTATATTTAAGCAGGCATTTCACAAGCACCACAACGGCGTATGGGATGGGAGACTGAGGCAGGAGGGGTGGCTGGGTGGCGAGCAGAGCGGACCAACGTGCTGGTCTGGTTCATGAGAATGAAATGGCGATGCGGAGCTTCCCAGCAGACTCCTAGTGGCCAGGGCAAACACTGCTGGCGCCTAGCTTTTCCAACTTCTGCAGGTGACACCATTCTCTCCCACCATCAGCTCTCCCTAGGCCAGTTCTCTTCACACTGCACCTGGGTTCAGAGACTTTGACGTGATCATCCAAAACAGCAGAAATTAAGGGGACTACAGATGAGCAGATCCTGGGTTGGGAGACGGGACTGTGGGTAAATTCTTTTACTTTATTTTCAGCTTTCTTACATGAATCGTTTTGATTAAAAATTAAGGGCAAAAAAGCTAATTTCTTTATCAGCCACTGGATAAAAACACAGATCAAAAAAGAACTAAGCTGAATTATTTTAAAATTTCTCACTGAAGCAAGCTGAAATAATAGCAGGTAACATTCATTAGGCACTTTAAGTAGCAGTCACTGTGTTAATTAGTATTTGATATTATACTTTGAGATGGGTTCTATTATTATCCCCATTTTACAGATAAGAAAACAGAAACTGACCAGCGAATTAAAGTTACTTGCCTAAGATCTTACAGCTATCTGGCACTGTGCTGGAAGCCTTCATTCCTATCCAGTATCATTATGAGAAAAATACATGAAATTTTTATTAAACACAAATACTTATTCACAAATGAGCATGCATTCACGAAGAAAAAGAGCTAGAAAACATAGGAATTGGCTAAACGAAACAAGTTAAATGTCTGTCAATTTCCCAAAATAATGCTACAGATTCTGCAAATGAAGTATCTGCCCCTCTTAAATTGTGAAAATCTCTCTCTCAATTCACTGTCCTATTTCTGCTGTTCCTCCCCTCCTCCCCCATTTCCTCTCTGCCTTCATATCCTTTAAAACAATTTCAGTTCCTCTTTCTCAATACCTTCAAGCATACTTTATCCAAAAGAACTCTAACAATCTCTGAGCTGAACAGCTGTAGAATGATACAAACTTAAAACAGGAACTCAGAAATACAACATTTGCAATGCATCTTCAGTTTTAGATCTATGTAACTGCAGAGTTAATTGTAAACTATTTTTTTAACTTCACACTTGGAATCCTGACTGTAATAATTAACAAACACAGTGTTCTCTTTTACTTAGCCTTTCTTCAAAGTAGTTTTTCACAAAGTTTTTCCATATATACTTTTTTAAAAAATACAAACCCAGGTGTAGTGGCACACACCTATAAATCCAGCACTTGGGAGCTGGGACAGGAGAATTGACAGTTCAAAGCTAGACAGTTCAAAGACAGACCAAAGTTCAAGGTCGTCTAATGAGACCTTGTCACAAACAACAACAAAAGAACCAGAATAAAAATTTAAAAAGCAAATACATTGTTAGAAATGTAATCACATTTTAGTAAGTTTATTCTTAATCACTTCTAGAATTGAACACAAATATTAAAAGTAAATATAGTGCAATGATAATATGCAAAATGTTACTTATCAATACACTAATAGGCACTTCCATTCATTCACCCAGCAATTAACCTCCAAATGCTACACAGTATCCCTTTTTAAATCTGGGAAAAAAGATGAGTTAACAGATAAGGGTACAAGTGCTGAATTTAAAATGATCTTCATTTGAAACAAAGCTCTTGTACTAACTCAGAGATTTTAAAACAGTCCGTTGAACTCCAGGTTACCATTTCACTTATTTATTTTATGGGTGGCAGTTAATTATTCCTAGGGTCTTTGTGAGTTTTAAATCATTATGTAAAACATTTAGCATTGGGCTCTACACATGACCATCATGGAAAATTATAATACTGAAAAAAGTGTAGCTGAAAAGGACGGGGCTGGGGATGTAGCTCAGTGAATTTGACCCCCAGTACCGCAAAAAAGAAAAGAAAAGGACAGGATGGCCACTAAATGGTCTTCTGTCTCACTAAAACTGAGAATGGAAATTTGTGAAATTCTGTCTCAAAGATACAATAACACTAAAAATCCTAGAGTTATGTAAAATAAAAAATCCATCTTTTAAAAGGAGTTTTTAAAAAATTATAAATCCAGTCCCAGTCCCCAAAATGTGCCTCCTGTACTTCCTCATGTTCTTAAGTAATCAGAATTTGAGCCTTGAGATATGCTGAACAATGGTAGCTCCCCACACAATAATTCAAGTACTGGCCAAATTTTCTCAAAGCAGTTGACCTTTCGTAATAAAGGTGAACAAAAGGAATAATTATGAATGCATTAAAGGGTAAAAAATGCAATCTTTTCAGCAGCTTAATACAAACCAAGGTATCAGAAATGCACAATTCTTCCTTCATCCTTCAAGAAAGAATGAAATACTTCCGATTTTACTTTTAAAATTACAATACAATCACAGACACTGCCCAAAAACCGGAAGGTGAGCACATCAGAGTTGCTACTATCTTTAAGTGACTCTATTAGTAGCCCTATAAAGATTTTATGTAGTGTTTCTAGGTTGCTTTTAGGTTCGATCACTGATTAACAATGTAGCAAACTCACAAAAGGAGAGGCAATTAATTTCTCTGATGGGTTTAAGAAGCTTAACCTACAGTTTATGCTCCCTAAATCAACCTGAGTAACAAGAGAAAATTTCAAGTCGCACCTTGCCCGTCTCTGAGTAAGCAAAGGAAACACTAGTAAAACACACCAGAAGCACGTAGTAAGACAATAATTTTTGTGCTAACCTTAATTCCTATCGTAGAGCGGTTGGTTCTATCAAAACAATTACCGATTCAGCAGGAATACAAGTGCTACACGAAGCATCCTTGCTTGGGTAATCATTCAGTAACAACGCTCACGATCAAAAATCCAAACATCTTTCCACAAAGCGAAAATCATCTGCAGTTTCAGCCTCAGTTTACCCATTCCTATGCGCCATGCACCATGCAGGCGCCTTTAAGAAAAAATAATAAGCAACTTCACTGTAACTTCGGAGACCGCATCGGTCCGTGCTTCCTGTACACCCTGCAAGTCATTGACGACGAAGGCGAAGCTCAGCATCGCCCAGCTCGGGCAGCACGCGAGGCGGGGACGCCGGCCCCGGCCGCCGCCGTCCCCGCGACTCGGCCGCTGACGCACCGCGATGCGGCTCACCTGACATCCTGCGCCAGCCGCGCCACGGAGGAAGCCGACTCCGCCGGACAAAATGGGGCCCCGGCGGCGCGCGGGGGCCTGCGTGCGTGCGTGCGTCCCTCCGTCCGTCCGTCCGTCCGTCGCGGGGCCCCGTCGCCCCAGCCCCTCCGCGGCGCCCGCCACCTGCCGGCCCGGCGCGCTGGGCCGCGGGAGACACCGCCGCTCCCGCCCCGGCCCGGCCCGGCCCGGCCCGGCCCCGCGTCCGCCCGGCAGGAGCCGCAGTCGAGGTGTCCGCCCGGCGGCCGCCGCGCTCCCTCCCGCCGTCCCCGCCGTCCGGCCGCAGCCAGCCGGGGCGGCGCCCGCACCTGCCGGCCCCGCGGCTTCACCCACCTGGCGCCCCGCCGCGCCTGCCGCGTCACGGCCGGCCCCGCGGCCCTCGGCCCGCAGCGGGCGGGCGGACAGGCGGGCGCCGGGAGTCTGCTGCGCCGCCGGCCCGCCGGCCTCGTCCCCGGAGAACCTGTTGCGCAGCCGGTCGCGGCGCTGGGCTCCGCCGGCGCCGCCTCAGCCCCACGCCAACATGGCGGCCGCGGCCTCCGCAGGAAGCCGGGGGGCGGGGAGGCAGCGCCGGCCGAGCGGTGACGCCCGCCCGCCGCCCGCCCGCCGCCGGGCTCCCTCTCCACCCTGCGCCCGGAACGCCCGGCGCCGCGCCTCGCCGCGGCCCGCCGCCAGCCCCGGCCCCGCTCTGCCCCGCTCTGCCCCGCTCTCCCCGGCCCCGGCCCCCGGCCCGCCCGGCGCGACCCCACCCGCTCCTCCTCCCCGAGCGGACGGGCTGGGCGCCTCCGTGCCGCGCTTCCTGCCTCGGCGCCCCGGCCTGGGGGCGGCCATGTGGGCTCCCCGGGGCTCCTCGCTGTGCCGGGGTCCCCAGCGCCGGGCAGTGGGACGTGGGGAGCGGAGGAGCGGCGCCCGCCGCCCGCGGGTCCCCCAGCCCCTGCGCTCCGTAGGACGCACCCTGCCCCGGGGCCGTCCATCCTCCGCTCCCACCCTGGTCCCTCACCACGGAGAGGCCAGCAGGGTCACCCGCCGGGCCTGCTCTCGTGCGAAGCACCCCCATGTACGCGCCCCCGCAGGAAGACTCGGGCTCACCTGCCTGCAGGAGCCCGGCCTCTCTGTGCACCCCGGCCCCCTCCAGGTGCAGCTCAGACCCGCATGGCTTTCTCCTGCCTTCGACGCCTCACGAAGCCCACAGCAGCCTCCTGAGACTCCAGGAGCCTTGCACACCCGGGGCTTACCCTTGACACAGCTCTCCGCGAAGGGGAGGCTTTCGTTTGGCTGTGGTCAGGGTAAGTCAGCGGTTCCTCTTGATCGCAATCGGGATCCAAGAGCAGATTTCTTTCTACTGGCCGTTTGAGGCAGGGTTGGGACTGACCTGTTGTACAAAACTCAGGCCCCCATGACTTCTGTTGGCATGGGAGAGATCAGCGCAAATCAGATGACCCCCTGGCTATTCATTTTTTACCAGTTGGGGCAGGTGGAGGTATCCAGGCTTATCTGAGATGGACAGCTGCAATGGCCAGGCCTCTGAACTGGTCACCGGGCTCTAGGGAAGCATTAAGTAAACATCAGTAGCGATAAACAGGCTTTTCCCGCTCTCACGCTCAGTGCTGTCCCAGCTATTCCAGAGGACCTGACCAAAACCTGACAAACAGGCCCTGCGCCTCACTGAGGCAGAGACATTTGGATAGTATCATCTGGGCGGTCCCTGTCTTCCTGAGGCCCAGGCAGTATCCCCTCTGCAGCCACCCCAGCAACGGCGGGGCCCCTTGAGCACCAGAGTTCACTGGTTAATTGTGGGGCTGCCTTTCTGAGCCCATCTTCAAAAACTGAGCCTCAGAATCCTTTTCACGTAGTTTATCAGTGAGGCTGTATACCTGGAATAATTCCTCCTGAACCTCGCTTTCTCTGAAAAGGATGCCATAGTCACAGCAGAATAAAAACAATTTATAGAAAGGGAAACCGTTAAAAACCCTCCCTGAGAGAAGCTAAAATGCTGACAACCTCTGACAAGCGTGGGGGTCCTGGCCACATGCCTGTGGTATCCCAAGCACCAACACAACCGTGTGGCAGGGTTCCATTCAGAATTCTGAGGCTGGTAGGTGCATCCTATGCCACTCTGTCACAGCTGCCAATGGGAATCCTCCAGTCATCTGCTGTTTCTCACCTGCCTGTAATTCAGGGTCGGATCTGGACAATATTAGGCATTTAGGGATTCGATATAAGAAGTGAGGGAGGAAAAGGGGTATTCTCAGGTTCTGGGTAGGCCTAGGTAATGGTGGTTCTAGTCAGCCGGTAAATAATGGAATATAGGAAGGAAACAGCAACCTTGGCTGTAGCTGAAGAAATACTGTCCTTGCTCCTCTTGCTGCTTTTCGATCATTATTTGACACACCAGCTCTCCCCCTGCTCGGGCCTTTTTCCTATCGTTTTCCACTCCCTGGACATTCCTGTCTACCAAGAATTCCAGCACCTGGATCATCCGTCCTCTCCACCCGGCCTGTTCATCGTGCTTAGTGTCTTAGGTATTCATGACTCATCCAGGGCACTGACTTCCTGTTCCCAAGGACAGACCTTGAAACTGTGTCTGTAACTTTCCTCCTTAGTATTTCCCAGCTCTTACCACCTCCTCTGCCCCCAGTGTAGCTGAAGGTGCGACACCAGGAGGAGCTGAGTAAATCCCACCTGAGACACGGTCAGTCTCGCCAGTTCCAGAGAACGTTCGTGATGGATAAGGAATGAGACGGCTGTGGAGCTGGAGTGTGAACAGCGTTAGGCTACATTTCTCTCCTCCTGGTTCTGCAGTGACAGAGGACTGGGTCTTAGGCCGAGGAATGGAAACGAAGCTGGAAATCTAGCCTTTATCACGAGGGCATTTACTGTCAATCTGTCTTCCTCCATTGCGTTAGTGCTGCTTCCCAAGCACTTATGGAGGTCCTGTTGGCTTCAGGGAGCACTACGAGCTCAGTACCGAAAACAAGTACCAAATTGTTTTGGCTGGAAAGGGTAGCAATTCACAGGGCAGTTCTGCCTTGCATGCTGAGTACCAAACAAGTACTGAGTACCAAACAAGTACCGAGGCAAAATTTTCACATCAAAATGTGTCACTGTACCAAATTTGATCCGTTTCAAAGCAGTTGAGTACCAAGCTGTGACTGTATATCCTAAGTTCTGCCACTCTTCCTTCTATTTCCTAAGATACATCCTCCTTCTCAGCCAGTTCACCCTCAAACCTGCCACACTGAGAACAGGCCACGGTAGATGGAAGCTGTTATTTCAGGCTCCAAGTATTCCATAAGATAAATACATTATCTCATAGAGTAGGAAGCCTATGAGAACCGGAGCTCATATTTTATGTAAGACTTTTCCCAATGACAGATCACTCAAGACAGTGCTGTAATTTTAGTTTTAAACAAATAATTTGTAAAGAAATCAAGAGAATACAGGCAACAGAAATAGTCTTTTTAGAAATTCATTTAAAAATTTTATTAGTACATACTGGTTACATTCATTGTGGGGAACTGCTGCATGTACAGAACACATTTCAATTCTTTCCTTTTTCCCTCCTTCCATCCCCTTTTCTGTTTCTTTTTTGCCAAGATCAGCTTTGTTTACTCTTATAAGTCTTTATCAAGTTAATCATCATAAACACAGATTAACAGCCAAACTAATAGGCACAAATATATAGAACACATAAAATAATTCTATTAAAGCAAGGCACATTTTAGATACATTGGCCATGCTAGGATACAATAACTTTTTTTCCTCTTTTTTCTATTATCTTTTATTTGTACTTTATTTATATATTGGATTTCTCATTTAAGAGAAACCATGTGCTATCTAAGCTTGTGCATGATACACTTATTATGATCTCGAGGACACTGTCCTTTGTAGGGGACAGTGTTTCAAATTTGCCCTTCTTGGACAAATTGGCAGAGTAGTACTCCATTGTGTATAAATATCACATTTTCTTCATCCATTTATCTGTTGATGGCAAATAGGACATTTCCAAGCTTTAAACATGGGTATGCATGTATCACTGTAGTATTATGTCTTTAACTCTCTCGGGAAGATACTTAGGCAATAGCTGGGACAAATGGGATTTCTCTTTTTAGTGTTTTGAGGATTTTCTATACTTCTTTTACTATTTATTATAGTGCGCTATAAAACAGGTCTGTTGACCACAAAATCTTATCATTGTATTTTGTCTGAAAATGTTCTTTTTGCCTTCCTATTTGAACAGTGTCTCAACTGGGTATAAAATTCTGCGTTGACAGATTTTGCTCTTGTTCTTTTTTCTTTCAGCATTTTATCATGTGTGCTGCTGAGGTGAGCACGCTTTCAGCATCTTAAAGAGATGTTTCCCATTCTCTTCTGGCCTCATGGCTTCTACTGAGAAGCTGGCAGTTGGTCAGATCACTGCTCTTTGATGTACAATTTATCATTTTTCTCTTACTACTTTCAAGATTTGTTCTTTAAACAATATTTGGTTTAGATAATTTGGTTATGATGTGCATCGACCTGACTTGTTTGTATTTATTCTGCCTTCTTCATCTTATATCTGCAGATTTCTGTCCTTCACCAAATTAAAATCTGGCTCTGCACCCCTCCATTGGCAGGCTATCTCGAGCTAGGGGCAGGGAGTAAACAGAATGTGCTCCTTCCCGTCTGCCTGTGGAGGAAGTTAGCCTGCCTCTGTTGTCACCCCTGTGCTTTCTTTCTAGCCAGGGGACTGCTCTGGTATCCCAGAAAACACGACAGCCCCACCAGCTCTCCACACCACTCCTAAACTGACGCATTTGCGCACTATTGTATAGGTTCTATCCCTTTTGAGAAATAAGTGAAAAATAAAGTTTGCCCCCTTTTGAGGTTCTTTTTTCCCCCAGGTTAAGGGTAACTTCGTGTTTCATAAGAGCAAACTGGGCATGGTGGCACACCTGTAAAACCGGCACTCTGGGAGGCTGAGGCAGGAAGATTGTCAATCCAAACCCAGCCTGAGAAAGTTAGCAATTTATTGAGATTTTGTTTAAAGTGAAAAACAAAATTAAAAAGGGGCTGGAGGTGTAGGCCCTGGGTTTCATCCTCAGCAGTAGAAGGAAAAAAATGCAGAGGAAAAGTAGGTAGGGTGTTTAGGGTTCACGAGAAGGCCTAGGCCTTCGTTTGACATGTATTATCAGTGTATTAATTGTTTGTTTTCATTAAGTAAATAGTTATTAAGAGCTTCCTACGTTCTTAATTCACAGGAATAGTCAAGCAGGATAAATTTGCTCCCTGACCCTTCTTAGTTTCCTTTGATTTCTCAGACCCTCGTCCAGAGCTGGAGCAAAAAAAAGTGAGGAGGTAGAATTCGGAGAGACTGAAAAGGAAGGGAAGGGACGGGACGGGAAGGGGAATTCCCAGCCCTGGCAGGAGGGAGGAGTCCCGTCTGGGGCCGCTTGTGCTGTTTATAACTTAAGACTCTGGCTTGATGCCTGATGACACCGGAAAGGCAGTGCCAGCCGGCCGCGGAGGGAAGTTCGCCCAGACTTGGCCCTGGGCCGGAGCTGCAGGGTGGAGCCGCGGGCCAGACGGGGCGAGGGATGGAGGCCCTGGACCAGACGTGCTCCTTCACGACCAGAGCCGCCGGGGCTCCCGGGGTGCCAGGTGTAGCTCAGCGAAAGGGACTCCAGCCTGTATTTAAGAATCAGACGTGCTTCCCGTCTGGCGTGTGTGCCCCGCTGTCTGTCTGCTTCATTGCTACTGTCTGCAGACAACCTGGGGGATCTCAGTCCCCTTCCTGTGATAGTTGAACTAATAATAAAGTAGCGTTTTGTGCTCCACAGAGTTTTTTGTCCACGCATGTGCATGTGCGTGTGTGTGGGGGGGGTGCTGGGGATGGAACCCAGGGCCTTGTGCACACTGAGTGCACACTGTATCACTAAGCCATGCCCCCAGCCCTTCATTTTTAAAATTTTAGTTAATTATCACAATACTCCTGGGAATTAGAAAAAAAATTTTGTTGGTGATCATCATTGGCATTTAAAAAAAAAAGGAAGGTAATATCAGGCCTTGGGGGATTTTCCCAGGCTCAGCTGTGATTTTCTTTTTTTTTTTTTTTTTTTTTCTCCTTACCGAGAGAAACACAGGCCACGCTATTCTGGGCTCAGAAAGCAACAGTGCTTTACTTTAGAACACACAGTGGATCAAATGGTTTTGTACTGTTTGGCCAGACTGAGTAAACATTTCTACTTCTAGTATTGCCATGTTCTTCTCCCTACGTAAGACGGCATCTTAATCCAATGAAGTTTAA